AGGGTTGTCGTTTAGGGTTTAGGGTTTAGGGTTGGTTTAGGCTTTGGGGTCTGTAGGGTTTAGGGTTTCGAGGGTTCATGTACCCCAGGGACGTGGGCTTAGGATGGCCCTTCTACGAGACCTTACACCCTAAAACCCCAAATCCCTCAAGCCTAAACTTTCCTGAAGTCCTAAAGGGTTTAGGGTTTAGGGTTTAGGGTTTAGGGTTTAGGGTTTTTGGTTTAGGGTTTAGGGAACCCTAAACCCTAAACCCTAAACTCGCAAAGTGTATAACTGCATGCCGTAGTTCGAACCGAACTACACTGAACGGCAAGGTCCTCCCAAGCGTGCTGCAGTTGGAGAACGATCTCCTCTTGCAAGGAGGCCCCAATCTCGATAGAATTGGGATCTGGATCATCCTTTTACACCACAACATGATAGGTTTTAAGGGATATGGTCACAAACTAAGGCATGGCGAATTGCTTGCTTGTCCAGCACTTTCCGTGGAACGGAGCGTTAGCCTTCGAACTAACTGTTTAGCAAATATATAACCCCGAACCCCAAACCCTAGACCGAAGCCCACAACCTATAGTACAGAAACATCTAAAACCCTAAACCCCAAACCCTAAACCTTAAACCCAAGCCCTTTAGCACAGAAACAATCGTTGAAGTTAAAGGTTACCCTAACCCTCCAGGTACCTACTATATAGTGCCCTAGGGGCTCTAGCACCCTAGATAGTAGGTACCTGTGGGGTTAGGGTTATATAGGTGCACCACTGCGAAGGCCGAAGTCGAGAACCCGGAGGTTGGGGGTTTGGGGGTTTGAGGGTTCAGGGTGTCGGGTTTGATATCGAAAAAAATCGAAGCCTAATTCATTACCAATATTATTGTTAGGGTTCCTTTTCATAAAGATACTTTATAAAGGAGCCCAAAAGCCCTATTCTAACTATTACCAATATTATTGTTTGGGTTCCTTTCAAATTTTTCATAAATATACGATAAAGGAGCCCAAAAGCCCTATTCTAATTATTAAGCTTTTCATAAAGATACTTTATAAAGGAGCCCAAAAGCCCTATTCTAACTATTAAGGCCCCTACATTCTGGTCGAGGGTTGGGGTTTAGGGTGTCGGACTTGGCGGGCGTGTCGGGCCTGGACAAGATGAAGGAGCAGAAGCAGCCTTACACTAATGTAGGGGGCCTTAATAATTAGAATGAGGTTCTGGGGATATATGATACCAGAATTATAATAAGGAACCCCCAAAATAGGAACCCTAAACCCTAAACCCTGAACCCAAAACCCTAAACCCTAATGGGCAATTATTTATGCTTCTATATTACACACCGGTACGAAGTGGAAGATCTGATCCAGGCCCGCCCAAACGACATCCTCAAGCTCCTCTGCCCTTCACTAGGGCCCCAAAAAAGCACATAAGCAAAAATTAGGATCCTGATATCCCATATAAATCCCCTGATGATGAAGCCCAATAAGGTAGGGATATCCCTATAAAAAGCTTAGGCTTATGTGCTTTTTGGGTCCCTAATTCACGATCGCAGCCCTGAACCTCTTGACGTCTACACGGCCGGTTCGCAAGCACCCAAAGATTCTAAAGGCGGCCCGTTTTAGGGTTCAGGGTTTAGGGGTTTAGGGGTTTAGGGGTTTAGGGTTTAGGGTTTAGGGGTTTAGGGGTCAGGGTTTAGGGTTTCAAACCCCAAACTCCCGAACCTCCCGAGCCGAAAAAACTCACACCCTTGAACCAACAAATAACTCCCAAATGCAGCTGTCATTCTGTTAGTCAAACTTCATCCAACCCTACACCCCCGAAACTCTACACTCTTTGTTGTTGGTGATGCCTCCTCAAGTTAAAGCATCTCTTTAAACCTATGCCCCGGAAACTCGTTGTTGTGAACACCTTCCCCCCTTTCAAACCCAAAACCCAACCCCAAACCGTTACGTCTGATCCCAGCAAAGTCACCTGCGTCGGTGGGGCGGGAATGCCTTCGGCCTTGCCTCAACCAAGGTTTTTGGGTTCAGGGTCTTGGGCTTGAGACAGACTGTAGAAGAGCTGTATAAACATGTCCCCCTCCCCCCCCCCCACAACAGCTGGGTTTAGGAATACGGTTTGCGAGAATACAGTTCTTTCGTAACCCCGAGGGTTCATATAGCCGGTATCAATACTCTGGGGTTCAGGGCTAGTCGTAGTTGTGAGGCTATTTGGGGGAAGTTTATGGGTGTTTCTCGGGTATAGGTGGCCTAGGGCTTAGCTTTTTGGCTTTGCTTGTTTTGTGCTCTTCCACGGAGCGCTTTGCAAGTGTATTTTGTGCTCGTGGGTCTTGTCAGGGCCTTCCCGTGGTTCTGTTCTGAAAAGCTTCCAGACCCTAAACCCTATAAACCCTAAACCCTAAACCTAAAACCCTAAACCCTGAAACCCTAAACCCTAAAACCCTAAAGCCATGAAACCCTAAACCCTAAACTTCAGCGCGCAGAGGGGGTTTGGGGCTTCTGCCGGGTCGCTCCCTTCGATGAGGTTGCGAAGCATCTGGCTGGCTTTAGCCATGAGAACAGTGAGCTCCACTTTGCCTCGGATTCTTCAGAGAAAGTGAAGGTTTAGGATTTAGGGCTTGAGGTTGATGGGCTTTCCGGTGTTTCTGAGCATCTTTAAACAAAGTTCAGGCTTCATAATGGGGTTTAGGAGACAGAAGTTCTCAGAGACAAAGGGCATTATTGAAAGTGAAAGGCCTCCCCGTCCAAGAATGTGGCCAACTTTGGAACACCCCGTCACACCTAAACCCTAAACCCTAAACCCTAAACCCACACATACACTGAGTTGCTTCCTTATACAGAGATCCTTACCGTGCATCGATCCCAGCCTGTGGATGTTATCCGGAGATCCTAACCATGCGACCCCAGGTTTTGCGACAATAATACTGTCCGGTTTAGGGTTTAGGGTTTAGGGTTTAGGGTTTTCGGGGTTTACAGACTGTGAAGGGCCACCATACTGAACCCTAAGCCACCCTGATCGGCGAAACCCTCCCTCAACCCTCAATTTACTTAAAAGGTAACAAACACTGAAACCCGAAAGCCCTAAAACCCTTAAACCCCTAACCATCCAAACCTGAAGCCCTAAACCCGACAGCATTGAAGCCTTGGGCTTGAATCCTAAACCTATAAGCCCGAAATAAGCACGTATGCAATCCATGAAAAAGCCCTATGAACTTACGAAGCACCCTTCAAAAGCCATGCCCATAGCTCCTTAGGCCAAAACTCAAACCCTAATGTAGGGACCTTAATAATATCTTAATAGGGGTTTTGTGGTTCCCTATTATATTTATAGTATAATATACCCCAAACCCTATTCTAATCATTGAGGCCTCCATATTAATCTCACTCTCCCCCCTGCAGAAAGAAGCAATGCAAAAGCCGGAAGACCAGCAGCAGGCTCTACGCCTGAGGCCACCTGCAAGAGCAGAGGGGCTAAGTGTGGCCAGTGTTTCGATGGTTGGGACGGCCTGGAACAAAGCTAGGCAAAATACCCGAGGGCCACATAGTAAACCCTATATGCCCCATGCCATTTATCATTGCTGGCGCAGAGGTATCGGTGTTGGGCCCGTAAGGTACACAATTGTTTGGTCTTGCATGGTAGTCAAGTGTCTTGAACATTGAACCTTAACATTGGCGTGCTGAAGGCTGCTAGCATCTAGCAGTCGGGTTTACGGATATCGGTGTAAGGGTGGTGAACCTTGAAGACATGTATTGTTTAGGGATCAGGGCGTTCCCTTAAACCCTAAATCCCCAACCCTTGAACCTTCAACCCTGTCCCTAAATGCCCCTGAGACCCTAAACCCTAAACCTTAAATCCTAAACCCGAAGCGCTGGAAACCTTCAACCCTGTCCCGAAATGTCCCTAAGACCCTAAGCTCTAAACCTTTAAATCCTAAACCTGAAGAACTGGAAAGGCTTGCCGCCCTGCCTGCGCAAAGAACATGGACACCTGGAAAGGGCAAAAGGACAGCAGCACTTCTAAAGACCAGCGCTGGGGACCTAAACCGTGGCTTGACTGCCGTGCCCACTATAGTCAAACCCAAAAAGTTGCAAACCGAAAATCCTAAACCCTAAACCCAAAGGCCCTAAGGACAATTGGTGCTGGGAATCCCTATACATCAACTTTTTGGCTTCTGCTGTATCACCAGGTACCCTAAACCCTAAACCCTAAACCCTAAACCCTAAACCCATCGAGACCATATCATCAGCACCACTAACAGCATATCGTCCCCGCCACGGTCAACCCAGAGTCCCTCGGCTCGTAAAAAAAATTCCTGTTATGAACAACGGTTTAGGGTTTAGGGTTTAGGGTTTAGGGTTTAGGGTTTAGGGTCCCCGACCCTGGTGGAAGTTGCCTGCTGGATGAGCAACCGGAGCCGCCCCAAGTTTTCCAGGTATCTGAGCCAGTCACCTCAGTGGTCAGCGGCCGTGTAGCTCAACTTGCAAGTTCTTCCCGAAAGACGCCACGGTTTCTGCAGGGTTTAGGGTTTGGGGTTTAGGGTCGTCGGCGCTGTAGAGAAGCATAATGAGGTTGAGAATGCTGACAGCGATGACGGCGCTGCTGCTGATGCTCATAAGGACGGCGAAGATGCTGAAACAGAACTATCATTGACTTATTGACTTATCCTTACAATCATGGCTGTGAGAAACCAAGATGCATAAGACCTGTGTCTTGCGTTACACAGATGACAGTCACAGTGATGATGACCAGACTCGTCATAAGGCACGTGGTGACTATTTGTCGGCGAGGAACACTCTATTCATCATGTTGGTGACGGTAGCCTCGACCGTGATCGGAATAAGACTGGGGCTGGTGATGAACTTGAGATAACGATAATTAACCCTAACCCTCCAGGTACCTACTATATAGGGCCCTAGGGGCTCTAGTACCCTATATAGTAGGTACCGGGGGGGGGGGGGTTAGGGTAAGCAGGAGAGCCATGTCCATGGTGACAGTAAGGATGCTGGCAGGAAGTGTGGGAAATCATCCTGATGCTGCTGCGTGGTCATGATGATGAAGAGGGTTTAGGGTTTAGGGTTTAGGCGGTTCTCAACATCGACACGACCTCGATGATAATTACAGACAATGGCTAATGGCTAATGGGTAAGATCGTGAGCTAAGCGTTGAAGGAAGCCATAAGAAAGAGATGACATCGGCGGTACTACTTCTATATTTCCAATCACTGCTGGCACAGCGCTCTCCACCATCTTGGCGCGTGGGTCACAATCGTCGGACCGGTTGACAAACAGCCTGACGAAATAGCAGTCCGAGAATAAGTACGAGAGGAGGAAAGGGTTGTGGAACGGAATTGTTGGAGGTGTTCATGCGTTCACAGGGCCTCATGGAGAGGCTGGATCGTTGGAATTCGGGTGTTGACCTGCTGGTTATTCACGCCCCTTGCTTACCATCCTAAACCCTAAACCCAAAACCCTAAACCCTACTGAACCCTAAACCCCTAAACCCCTAAACCCCTAAAGCCCTAAACCCTAAACCCTGAACCTAAACCCTAAACCCTAAACCCCTAAGCCCTTAACCCTAAACCCTACTGAACCTAAACCCAACCCTAAACCCCTTAACCCTAAACCCTAACTCAAGAGACCATCTGATCCTCTCGAGTTTCTGAGACCCCCGACCCTCACTTCGTAGGGCCCATATACGATGGGGACCTGAATAACTAATGTTATGTTATGTTATGTTATGTTATGTTATGTTATGTTATGTTATGTTATGTTACTTTATGTTATGTTATGTTATGTTATGTTATGTTATGTTATGTTATGTTATGTTATGTTATGTTATGTTATGTTATGTTATGTTATGTTATGTTGTGTTATGTTGTGTTATGTTATATTGTCCTTTAGTCTTTTGTCGAAGTACCTATATGGCAGAATGTAGGGTTGCTAAGGTGGGTTGCTATATTAGGAATTGCTATTCTGATTTGGGCAACTTTCCCCATATACGTACTCAGGACCCTGTGGGTTTACTAAGTTATACCCCCAAATCCGGTTTAGGGTTTAGGGTTTAGGGTTTAGGGTTTAGGGTTTAGGGGTTTAGTTAATAAAGCTCCTGTATTAAGCCAACTCGACCTGCTCTTGAAGGCTTAGGGTTCTTCGGGATTGGGATCAGGAGCTAGGCTCCAAGTCGCTGTAGGATTTCATAAGGGTTCTAATTACAGATGTTTATATGGGCTTCAAGATAATCTGGACTTGTTTCAAAGCATTTCTTCTTTGCAGGCTGTTACAGCGGTGCGTCAGGAGTTTAGGAGATCAGAATTCAGGGCGGCGCGCTGGATGTCAGTGTCGAATGCTACTGTTTGTTGTTGCTGCCCAGGCGCACTGGGTTTCATGTCGACATTGCAGAGCTTTGCCCCACTTTGGCTACAAAATGGTTCCGGGCTAAGTGCTTTAAGCTTTGGCTACCCTCAAACCCTGTATGTAAGCCCAACCACCTAAATCCCAAATACACTGAATACCCTAAACCCTAACCCAAAACCTGTAGCCACACGCTATACCCTCAACCGCTTACCACAAGCCCTGAATCCCAAACGCAAAGCCCTAAATCGTACGCCCCAATACCCTAGGCCCTATTTAACCCCAAATAACCTACATTTTTAAGGACTGATACAAGGAAAACATAACAAGGAATCCTGAAGCCCCAAGCCCTAAATACTACATCCCTAAACCCTAAAACCCCTAAACCCAAAACCCTAAACCCTGAACCTTAAATCCTACATCCCTAAACCCTAAACGCCAAACCCTAAACCCTAGGATCTTCTCCAAGGAGCTGCACCGCATCGAGCATGGAGGAGAAGAGAGTTTCCTCAGTGGGTCGTGGGGCGGTGCTCGTTTTGGCATGGAAGCTTGGGATCTAGAAAAGCTGGTCCAGGGTTCTAGGGTTTAGGGCTTAGTGGTTGTAGGGTTTTGGTTTAGGGTTTAGGGTTTAGGGTTTAGGGTTTAGAGTTTAGGGTTTAGGGTTTAGTGGGTTTGGTGGGTTTAGGGTTTAAATGGGTGCCTTGGATTTTTGGGAATTAGGGTAAAGGCCAACCGGTAACCACAAACTAAAGAGCAACAACAGCTACATACCCACTTGGTTCAACACCAGAACCCTTCATGCTGCACTGCGTATACAGGTTCAAGTAGCACCTCACCCGACAGAGGTTTCGGATGCCCCTCCAGACGAGCGTGTACGGACTCCTAGACTTTAAACCCTCTAAACTTCTCTGAACCCTAACCCCCCTAAACCCTAAACCCTAAACCCTAAACCCTAAACCCTAAACCCTTAACCCTCGACTTTGCATCTTACGTAGGCAAGCAACACTGAACCCCATCCCTAAGGATCCAAGTGCCCGAATAGTAGGATTTCAAGGTCCAGAAACCATTGGGACCTACCTTGAGAACCCAAAACCTAGTTTTTTGAAGGGTCCCTATAAATCCCATATTAGGGTTTATAATAATCAAGACTTTCTGAAGCCATGCTTGCTCAGGCACCGTGCTTCCAACTTGTGAACGTGCTCGCTCGCTTGGGGATGCTGTTCAAGGCTTGACATGTTTCGTACTATGACTCACTAAAGGTAGCCCAATGCCTCGTCATTTAATTGCTGATGCGCATGAATGGAATAGTGACCTTAGTGATGTTCCCACTGTCTTGCAAATTCGGCAAGATTCCCACTGTCACACCTACTATCTAGCGATACCACAGCCATGGCTTTGTTCTCCTCGACCTTTCGTGCCCGGGTAGAGAAAGAAATCCCGTGGGTCCTGGATGGGTGTTACGACCACGATGAGCCCACCGGGACGATGCGCCGGGAAAGATTTATCTACTTGCTCGAGTGGGGCCATCAAATGCTGGCGAGAGCTGTTGAGCGGGACCGATTTTGAGTTGTGTTCATAGTATCGGATTTGTGGCCACTCATACTTGTATTCCCGACCCATTACTCTCTTCGGACAGGAGGGAGTTCCGACGGCGTTCATCGAGGGCATGGAGGCCAACGAGAGTCTGGATTCCAGCCCAGGACAGGTTCTCTGCCGCTTGCTCGCACTTGGTCCTATAGTATAGGGGCTATTTGTATTTTCAGGGCCTCGCCACGAACTCAGGTATGCAGATGGTTAGCCGCATCCTTCCGGGAGGATTGCTGGTCATGGCGTGACCCAGATGCATTTTGCCTGTCTGGGAATCATTGAGATCGGTGTCTCCTTGTGCCGTGAGAGGCCATTTCGGTATCAGAGCGGGTTCGCCAGAGTGAAAGAGATCGCCGTGACTCGGCCGGGGATGCTGAATGGGCTTCTGATTTGTGTGATTCGGAGATAATTCAATCACTTATTCGTTCTGAGGCCTTTTTGAGCGACATCATGTTGCTCTGCCACTTTGTCCGGGTGAGAGTGATCTTCTTGATGCCCCTGAATATCGCCGTCCAGTTCGAAAATCAGGCTTGTGTGCAGGACTGCCCCCCTTGCAGATTAGAGGAGAGATCAGTGAACAGGGCAGAGTGGAGTTGATTTCTTTCCAAGACAGGAAGCGGCTGACGGCTTGAAGTATGTAAAAGCTTCCTTTGTCAATGCGGCTTTTGCAAGCACCCAGGGGCAGCCTAGCAGCACATCATTCCGCATTTGGGCGAGTGTTTGCTTGTGACTTGTATTTGTCACCAAGAATAAGAAAGCAAGCAAGGGGCGTGACCTGGATGTGGGGATCCGATCACCTTGTGATCAAGGGCATCAAATTTATTTCGAGCCGCCTCCTTTTGATGCTGCTTGGCAAATATCGGCGACTTTGGCTTGGCCTTATGGGTTCATGTCCTGAGCATGATGCTCGTATTCATGTTTGGTCTTAGGTTCCGGTCCTCTCTGGCCAACAAGAGGAATGCGGCATTGGTTGGGATGCCGAGCTACTTCATGGACATCACCGGCAGTTTCGTCTTCTGTGCCACGTGGGTGCAACTTAGACTTCTGAGTGGTTTTTGTGGGGCTTCGCTTTCTTGGTCTTTGGACACTAGGCCTGATTAACTGAGTTCTGCGATCTGGTGATGCTCCGGCACCGCTCCACAGTTGATTCCTTGATGGGTCGGAACTGGACAAGAGTATTCAATGCCATGGCCCTGGACGTTTTAAGTCAGGCCCGGGTTCGCACATGTAGCAGCCGCTGGTCTGTCATATAGGAATTTAGCATTCGCTGACAAACTGACCGGTGAATTGCGAGGACGTGGACGAATGCTACATGGTCAACAAGCGAGGTTCTGATCCAATCCGCGATGGCCGGAAACAAGATGTGATATTTAAGGCTGCACTCTGGTAACGATATCTTTTAATGTTGCCTCTTGCAAAATTTCGTGCTATCGTGCAGGCAGAAGACTTCTATGTGACAAGACCCTTGGGACCATCCTTGATAACTGCGCCACAGCTGCACATATTATGTCTGCTTCCCCAACACCGAAGAACAGCATTCCCAATGAAATCTGAATGATTAAAAAGCATCATCGTTCTGCAAAACCCAATGACACGAGGGGTCGGGGCAATGGATATTGTTTGTTGTACTGAGTCCCGCAGCACATCGGTGGCGGATATGATCGGGGAGGACCGTTCTCGCTTTGCAGCTTTCTGTGACTGTGCGAAATAGCCGGCCTGATTAGATATCGACAGAATTGAGTTGTTCACTCAGGGGTCTTTATCAATGTGTGGGCACGCCTGGCTTCTGCAGGAATGGGAAATGCTCGGCAATTGAGAGCATGGCCATGTCGTTTCTTGGATTGCAGCACGACTAACGGTTTGACGCAAAGTCTGTGGGATTTGTCAGTGCTCTAGAAGCTAGATTGAATTGAATTTCAGAATAGTGATAATGTTCGTGACGCTACTGCGTTTATTCCTTCTTATTGTGATTCACAAATTGTGATCTCTTGCTTGCTGTGTAGCCTCCCCGCATGCTCCTGTGAGATACAAACACACCACACACGGACACTCACACACACACACACACAGACACACACACACACAGACGCACACACACACACACGCAGCGGCACCCAAACACAGATATATATATATATATACACACACACACACACACATGCACAGACACGCCCACACACGCCCACCCACCCACACACACACACACACTTACACACATTTCCTCTTTTCACTGCCAGTCGCTGCAGCTTCAATATCTGAGCCCAGGTGCCGGAGCTGCCCGAGATCCGAGAAATCAGATTTTGGATTCGATGCATTATCAATGATGAATTATCTGCTGCTCTGGCCGAAATTCAGATTACATGCCACTTGGATTCAATACACAATGCATGCATGCATGCCACACGGCCCTTGGGTGCTTGCTCCTGGCTGATGCTTTTCTGCAATTGGGACCCTGCACGCATTGGGCTGTGTCATGCTTAATTGGGTTCTGTCTGACTCTTCCTTAGCCTAGGCAAGATGGTGCTGGCTTGGGTCTCGACTGGACTTTGAGCTTAGCACTTCGCTGCGACTCGGGGCACTCGGGTTGGGTTTCTAGGTTAGATAGGTGAAGACCGTAGGGTAGTATTATATATGTCTTAAACCTAGACTGGGTCTAGTACTTTAAACTTCGTAGATTCTAAACCCTCAACCCAATGCCCTGGTGGTCTAACCCTGTTCTGAAGCCCTCTGCCCCCCTATAGCTTTCGGTTACCTGAACCCAGCCCGTGCACTGCCCAGCTCAGTTTGCAATTAATTGAAGCCAGCTGAAGCCAGCTTTGCCCCGAGTGCTTGCCGTAGTCTCGATCCTGGGACGAAGCGACGGGCCGCAGTCACAAAGAAGGTTTGAGTTCCATTGAGTGCTTTGCAGTAGAGACGGAGATGGCTTCGATGTTTGTGTCGCACACCACACTGTCTCGAAGACTGCTTGCAGCACTGACGATTGGCCGATTTACGCAGTGATTGGGCACAGGGAACATGCACGAAGCAGGTCATGTGACATCTACATACACAAGGTCACAGCGTGGCTTTGGGCTTTGGGGTTCAAGCTTCTGCCCTTCCAATCTTATAATATAGGGGTTGCTCTCAGTCCTCAAATGCCACTGCTTATACTAGACTACTACTAGTAGTTTCTTGCTTTTCACAGCAATCGCGATTGCGGGCGAGTCATGGTGAAGCTGAACAAGGGGGTCACGAGGACCACACTTCACGCTTCGCTTGCTTGGCTTGCAGTGTCCGCAGAATCACTGAGGGCTTAGATCGGTCCTGATTCTTGTCTGCAGGACCAACTCCACCAGAAGCCTCGCTGCCGCCGCCGGCGAGGTTGTCGAGGAGGATCCCCCCTCGGCAAAGCATTTCATGATGAGTACGGCCCGGCGATCGCTTGACGAAGCTTTTGGCACCAGTTTTTGGGATGCAATTTGTGGCGGTTGCGGTATTTGTCACTCAGACTCAGTCGGTCCGTCTCAATCGAACTTGCTCCCTCAATTGTCAATACTTAGCCTGCACTCCAATCTCAGGCAAAGCCAGCGAGGCTGACAAGAAGGATAAGAAAAAAAAGAAGGACTCCAAGAGCTGCAAGAAGGAGAAGGCCAAGAAGAAGAAAAAAAAGAATAGCCTCTCTTCTGCAAAAGAAATCATAGTCGAACATCCGCAAGTGCAGCAAGACTCGATGCTTGTCCGATTGCTCGATACGAGGCAGCAGCTCCTCCAGCAGCGACCACGAGGAGTCCAGCTCTGTCCTCGAGTCTGAGGATGTTGATGACTCTGCTGCTCTGTTTGGTGTGTCCCGACGGGAGATGCAGAAAGGTGATGATGTGTACAAGCTAGATGATCTCCCGAGCAAGCAGCTGGGCTTCGTGTTGTCCCACGTCAGCGAGATGTTGTCTGCCACAGAAGTGTATGAATGCGGCGGGGAATTGGAGCCCTGGATTCAGTCGGGTTTCGGTTGGGCATTGGATCATTGGGGGCTGGGACATTTGGCAGAGTTACTAACTAAATCGGGCTACATTACTTTGAAAGTTTCGTTCTGCTGGCCGGCTACGACGAAAGTGCTTGTCTCTGCGGATAAATAAATAAAGAAATAAATGGTCTTCGTTCGATTCCTGGTCCTCTTGTACCCACAGGATCTATCTACCTCGAGGGTTTAGGGGTTAGGGTTTTATGGGTTTAGTTAGTTAGTAGTCGTCGGGGATACCAAAATTAATAATTGGGGTTCATTAAAATTAAGACTAAATATTATTTATTTATTTTATGTTGAATTAATAAAGACTATTTAGGGCTGAGTATAATAGCGGGTTTTAGGATTCGGGTAGGTTCGGGCTTTTTTTTGTCGAGGCCCCCATAGACAGACTTAACACAGGGTTCCCGAAATTGTGGGGCAGGGAATAAAGGCTTCTAAAAACCACCTAAAATTAGTGAAACTAACAAATTGGTTGCTGCCTCATTTCGCCTCTATAGTATGAGTATGGGGAGAATTTGTGTGGGTAATCAGGACCGACTCTGTCTGTGGACCTTCCGAAATATATATTTTCGCCTACTGATACAAGAATAACAGGGGATATAACTGCAACTCTTAATCTCCGGGTCTTGTGTTGTTGGGGTTTGTGGTTGCTCTACTAGTGGTGTCATAGAGCTGATGAGTTCTTTCCCTCGACGACAATCACCCACGCAACCCTGCCCTGGCTTCTCGTGCCACCTATGCCCAGGAAACCCTGCTGGGCAACCGCGAGAAGAAGGCTTCGAGGCAACGCCAGAAAGAGGAGAAGGAGAAGTTTGCTTTTGAGGCTCGCACGGGGTTCTGGGCCAAGAGCTTTCGGCTGATACTTCACGAAGCTTAACCTGGGATGGATTGGGTAGATTGATGTATGAATCCAGGACATTACATAGCATTGTTTGTCATTACGAGACGACTAGCAACTGACTCGGAAAATCGGGATTTCTACCTTCGGGACTTCTGGAGTACGTGTGTTTGTGTCTTCGTGGATTGCCTTTGCAAACACTGAAACGCAGCCAGTGAGGGCCTCATATCGAGAAACCCATCGCCGAGTCCGGTTCGCGGGATCAAAATAGACCTTCCAAGTCTCATGAGATAGGGATTCAATCCGCGATGTGTTAGTTATATTATAGCATAGCTTGAAGATACTACTGTTGACCATGCTGGGTGTACACCGCACGAAACAGAACGAAGCCCTTCTCTTTTTCAAGGTGAACACCGTAATCATAGTAATGAAGAATGAACAGCAACGATGCCTAAGTCGTGCATAATAATAGGCCCCCGACCTTAGGTCCTAGTATATAACACCCATAACGATTCCCGTCTGTTGCCAGGGTCGCACAGCCTCGACCCTCTGGTCCAAGCGGATGAGCGACCTGGTCGTTGCTCGTGGCTTGTCAAGGATGATTCAGAACTGAGGCTTATTCAGAAAGGGGTGAGGGCCAGGTTGTTTCGGGTCGTGTTATTAAAATACTGATCGTTCAATCTACTCTGAAGTAAGTTAATCTGGGTCCACTAGTCTGGAGGTTTCTTGGATATTGCTGGGGCTCGGGGGGGGGGGGGGGGGNNGTGTGTGTGTGTCTGTGTATCTAGTTTGTGGTTTTGGCATTAAATTAAATTACGTCACAATTCTACTTATTGTCTGGTAGCCCACAGGAGCAATCTAGACGATGGAAGTATTCAGTATACGGCCCGAATGTATTAATTGATTTCCCGAGCCGGTCATGATATAGTAACTACAGAAACCAATGGACCAAGAGCCCACCCAATGCCCGGCCCCCCCTAGGCTGAGAAAGCACCATGAATAGTATAATGAGTTAATCGTCGTGTGTGTGCTTATGTCTGCCCCAACACGAACGATCTCACGCAACATCCGCCGAGTCACGGGGCGAGCGCCGGGAGCCATCTCTGTTGGCAACGCCAAAAGCTTGAGCGACATCTCGGCTGTGCTGCGGCTTCTGTATCGCAAGAACTTGAGGCCATGCCGGGCTCATGTGCTTAAATACCTGCAGTTCTCAGGTTTCATTGTGCAGTTGATCCTGGTCGATTTTATACATTCAAGCATATCCCCAGCAGCCCGACAGGAGGACCGCAGATGGAAAGAAAGCCTTGTTCAAGACGGTGAGTGGGATCTTGAGCAAGCACCGGGAGGCTTGGTCCTAGCAGGGTTTCGGGCCTGGGGTTTCAATGATTGTTTCGTGACGACTGCTGCTGGTGAATCGTATTCTAAGACTTAAAGTCAAGCTCATATGCTACCGCTAGCTGTTGCCGTACCGGCAATAATTTCTCCTGCCCCAAACCATTAAGCTGACTGCCTGTCGAGTTGCGAGGCAGCCACCCAAGATCTGAAGCAGCAGCTCACCCAGCCCGAGAAGAAGAAGAAGTTGCCTGTGGCGAAAGGACCGAAGAGACCGGCCGTGGAGTACGAAGCCAAGCCTACGAAACGCCGTCCGAGGCCGAGTTGTTCGAAGAGCGGACAGCCAAAGGCCATCCGGGACAAAGAGCCGGAGCCGAGCGCCAAAGAGAGAGAGGAGGACGAGGAGAAGACCAAGGAGGCCGAGGATGAGGACGAGGAGGATCCCGAGTTTTTGGGATCGAAGGATGTCCCGACCCCGCCGGACAGTGCAGAGTTGGATGGCGATGACGACGAGGAGATTCCCGACTCCGAGGAGCTGGACCGGTTTATGGAGGACTCCGACGAGGATGCCGATGTCTTCGCCGAGGAGTTTGCTGTGGAGAAAAAAGAGAAGGACTCCGGCCAGGCGAAGGGAATCCCCGCGAAGGTCCAGCAGTACTTGGAGAAGTTGGACAAGGAGCTTGCCGCCCTCATCCCCAAAGTGCTGACAGAGCCATCCTGTTGCACCTAGTTGCTGCTTTCGTGTTCGTGCATGCTTATGCGATTTTCACTTGGGCTCTGCACCCGAGGTCCGACTTCACGAACTTTGTGCGGCTGCTGTACGCCGAGGGGCTGCTAAAAGTGGAGGATGTCAAGGCTACTGCAGGCCTGCCAGGCTGCTTCTCTTCTGCAGAATATTAATACGGTTGTTGTTGCACAGAGTCAGAATGGCACATCTTGCCGCTGTTCTACGCTGACGGACAAAGGTACGATATCGGGCAGTCTCGGCCCGGGCAAGGCCTTCTACAACAAGCTCTCCATCAAAGCCAAGCAAGAATTGGACTCATGGGCTCAGAGGATTCAAAATGGAGAGGCTACGTGTTGGCAGTTATGAATTTTGTGCTGTTCCACCATAAAGCCACTCGAGCTTTCGGTGACTTGTCCCAGGCCTTCGCGACTCCGAGCCGGCGGCCATCTGGAGCTGCAGTGGCCAGTGGATGAGCTGGTCCTGAGGATTGGCATTGGGCCCACGGGCTGCTTGCGCTGTAAATTTCAAGGCTGAAGGGCCTCGAAGATGACGATGCCTCCTGGGTTGAATGCTCGCTGTGCTATATTATATGGCCTAGGTCCTAGGGCCCCAGGGGTGGAACAGTTTCCTTCATTGGTTAAGTAAGACTGGTTTCATGATGAGCCAAGGCTGCTGTGTAATTACTACCTTCTAAAATTCTGTTCGGGATATAGCTACGACCTTGGGATCTCAACTATTTTCCGGGTTTGCCTAGGAGGGTTCTCGTCATAGATTCTATTAACTTTCGGAAGGGCATCTTGGTATGACTAGTCGCGGTTTTGATAGGTAATTACTATCTAGAATCTAGAGAGCGGTCATAGACTTTATTCAGGGTGCCTAACTCGACTCCTTCCGGGGCATGATGTATATTTGGGAAGCAGGAGGCTTCAGTCTTCGGTTTTGAGGCCCGTGCCCTGCCGGCTTGAAAGCTCGTGAGTCTGTGTCCGGCTAGCGAAAAGGATGAAACTTTCGAGTCTCGAGTGTTAGTTGTTACCGAATCGAAGCTGAAGTTGCTCCGCGGCCTTGCAGCACTGACTTGGGAATGTGCCGTGTTGCAGGCTTTGGCTGGCTGGCGGTCCATGACACATGTGAGTCCTGATGCATGTTGTAAGTAGTGCTGGAACCAAACCCTAGCCTAGCACTAAAGGAGCACCGAACATCCTAAATCCTAGGTCCGTGTCTGGTTTAAACAAAGTAGAGCAAGGACACCGTGAAGAAACCCGACTAGTCTAGTGGCACTTCGTACACCCGATCCACAGTCATGACTCACTAATTCTTAAGGTTTTAAATATGTCGAAGTTTAATGGTAGTCAGTAGTAAATACTAAATAGTGACGAAGCCACCAAAACCTTATAACAGTTCGTCCTCGAGCTTGACCCACACGACACAACCAGTGGCAATGGTGATGACTGAGCCCACACTCAACATACCCCTTACTACTATGTCAGTTTATGTAGCCATAACCACTAAAAGAGCCCCAATTATGAACGAAAGCCGCCTCCAAGCTTCAACTTTAGTTTTTAGCCGATGTGCATTCGTGCCAATTCGTGCTCCTGGTCCTGGATCCATCCAGAGATCCTGGGCTGCAGAGCAGAGAGACGAGATGTGGGTAAGTTTGGGTCGGGGTTGGTCCGGGAATCTTGGAGGCTGCCTGCCTTCCATTAGTAATAGTATAGACACAATTAGAAGGGAAAGCCAGCAGGAAGGGCCCGGGGGTCGGGCTGGGTTCAGAATTGGCCGACTGGTCTCGAAGACAAAAGTAGAAGGGAATGCCTGGTCCCGGCTTATTCTAGAAAGGGTTTTAAATGGGTTTTAAAAGGACCTAAGAATTGGGGTGTTTGTGCCAGGGTTTGCGTGCTCGCTCGACAGTAACGTGCTCGCTGGACAGTAGCGTGCTCGCTCGACAGTAACGTGCTCGCTCGAAAGTAGCGTGCTCGCTTGGCCGGCACGCTCGGGCACCTGCGCGCACGTTGTCGGCGCAAAAAAGTTTGCGAGCACCATGCCCCTCTAGATCCGGGCCATCGCCCCTAAAGGCAGATTCGTCGAGGCATCCTTCGTTTTCGTGCGTGCTTGCCCGAACACGCGGTCTAAAGGAACAGCGTGCTCGCAAAGAATTTTCTGCCCGCAACCTGTCGCACGGTGACCGCAGGAGCCCACTACCCACCCCGCCAAATCGAGCAAGCATGAATCCAAATCCGAGGACGAGCCGGATATATGGCTGGTGTGCAATGGCTGGGGGACAGGCTCCGCGAGCTGTCCGAGTGGCTTGGCTACTCTTATTCGTGCTCGCTCAGCCACGAACGTGCTTGCTCAGCCGCAAGCGTGCTCGCTCAGACTTGTAATTTTGCTGGGTTCTTGACCTCAGGTTAGACTATGGATGTGATGCTCGGAGCAACTTGCTCCAGAAGCTTTATAAAAAATTTTCCTTTATCGATGGCTGCTTTGTCAACAACCAGAAGCTCGGCGAAATCGAGCTTACCCAGCAGAGCTGGGAGGACAAACTTTGTTATCCGCTTCCTCTGAGAGAGAAGACACAACCAACAGAAGAAGAGTCGCAGGAGAGACCCCAGAGGTAGACATGTGATATATATATATATATATAGATATACATAGAGTATTACACATGCATACAACTAGGTATATTTATGTATTTTAGACGACATGCATGTCTGTGTGTGTACATACATTACAACTGTGTGTGTGTGTGTGTGTCTGTGTGTGTTTGCATCCATATGTATATATATATATATATGTATACGGTGGCCCAAACACATAATGGTGCACATGCATATATACATATAATATTATCAGTGTTCAGTTCTACAGACACAGAAGCACAGATTAATTTGGATGGTCGACAACCATGCATGCCATGCACAGTTAACCACATCCCCCAAATGCAAAAAGCAGGAGCAGCAGCAACATTCTCGGTACTTCTAACATTCACACGAACAAACAAAACAACAAAAAACAACGACAACAACACCAACACCAAAACCAAAACCAATACCAACACCAACAACAACCACAACGACAAAGACAACAGCAACAGAAACAGCAACAGCAGTAGCAACAACAACAAGAACAAGAACAAGAGCAACAACAACAGCAGCAACACCATCAACACGAAGAGCACTAACACGAACAACAACGACAACAACAAAAACAACAGCAATCGCAGCAGCCGCCACAGCAACAGCAACAACAGCGACAACAACAACACCAGCAGCAACAGCAGCAGCAGCAGCAGCAGCAGCAGCAGCAGCAGCAGCAGCAGCAGCAACAATAGCAACAACAACAACAACAACAACAGCAACAGCAACAGCAACAGCAACAGCAACAGCAACAGCAACAACAACAGCAGCAACAACAACAAGGAAGCACTCGCACACACACACACACAAATACGCAGCCGCACTTGCTTCTTCCTTCTTCCCTGAAATCAAGTCTTCGTCACTGCCTCAAAATAAACGAGTCAAGTTGCAACCTCCTTGCCGTCGCAGGAGGCATTGGATGTGCATCGTGCCACCGCTGCCAAGCAGACGGTCTACTTTAGACCAAGGCTCTTTTCAAAGGAAGATGCGGCCCAGGCGCCGCAGCAGCTGACGATGGACCAGGACGGCGAGTCCCAGCACAGCAGCCCGCCCAGCTCCAGCAAGAGCTATGCGGCAACGGAGGTCCTGTACCTGAGATCAGAGAGTGCAGTGCGGGGTGTGCTGCAGCTTCACAAGGTCCCGGCACGCAAAGAGTCATGTCATATCTCATTGCACAATATCTCTTTGAACATGATTGTGTGGTTGTCCACTTCCGAGGTTTCTGAGCCTCTACAAGGCTACAGAGTGCTTTTACGTGCAGAGGAGGTTTGGAGCCTCACCCGAAGATCTCAGCTTTATTCGAATTATTTTTCAAAGCTGAAGCTCGGCTACATGTAGCACAGTGCATGCAAGTTGGTCCCGTCAGTGAATGCTTCCTCTCCTACCAATATCTAGGTGCATTGCTGTGTCATCCAAGGCAAGATGGCCTGGGTATGGACATCGCAGAAAGCTGGAAGATCCATGTGGACACACACATGATCCGGAAATCCTCTTACAAGGGGCACGGCTGCAAAGTTTCCTCGGATAGAATGAAGATACCCTTTGAAGGGTTGACGATTCCGGGTGCAATTTTCACGGTGGCTTGGACGCTACAATAAGCTTCGCTTCGGTTGCTGTTGCCAGGCATTGCCTTCGCAAAGAACACCGCTGAAACACCCCAGGCATCCTACGTCCTGCAGACGAGGGGCTGCCGGCCCGAAGTGCAGAAGGGTGCACTTGATTGCCTCGGTGTGATTCTGGGGACTTGTGTCTCCGGGACCCTCCAGATTCGCTTGCTCCCCAACAAGGAGGAGTGTGACTCGGTTTCATTCAGGCCATTGAGAGGGACGGAGACACAGACAACAGTGAATAGGTAATCACAGTGGCATAAAATAGATCTTAAAATGGCGACGAACAAACCTGGATAGCTACCGGGCTGCCCTTGCATCTCCTGAAGTGTCAATGAAACGCTGGCCTTCAGGCATTGCCGCAGTTCTTGCGAAACACTGGTTCCACATAAATTAATTCTGTTGAATTCCCCAAACCCTGATACACCCTTAATTTAATACCCTAAACCAAAGAAAGCCTTAGCTTTGTCATCCCTCGCTCTCTCGCCTCTTTGTCTGTCGCTTTCTTTAGCTCTCCCTCGCTCGCTCGGCCATCGAATCCATAGCTTCTTTTTGGTTGTCAGGTCTTTTGGAAATTGCCGATGGCCATGTCACGCTCGAAAGTTGGAAGCGATTCCTGGATTATTCGGGCACCATCCAGAGGCTTCTCTCGAATCGGAATTAGAGACCTTCGCTGCAGCATCCTTGACTTCTGCAGGTGGCACCACTGCAAGCAGCTCAGCCCAGCCGAGCAAAATGTCAACACAGGCCCAGATACAGACCAACCTGCACGCCGTGCTTGACAAGCTAAGCTAACGAATCGCCTCGTTTATTTCCAGGCATTCGTTTGGCCTCGGCTACGTGGTTCATTCTTCGACAGCCTCATCAGGACAAATTCGAGGACAGACTTTGCTGTGACCCCTAAATCCTCATTCCCAAACCTTACAATCTCACCCGCACTTTCTCTCTCTCTCTCTCCCTCTCGCTCTTTCTCTCTCTCTCTCTCTCTCTCGCTCCCTCTCTCTCTCTCTCTCTGTCTGTCTCTCTCTCTCTCGCTCTCTCTCCTTCTGTCTCTGTCTCTGTCTCTGTCTCTGTCTCTGTCTCTGTCTCTGTC